TGCAGTAAGTGCAGAACACCCGTGCTTTCATATAGTGGCCATCATCTGGACTTTTATGCTCTTAACCCTCAGGATAAAGCTCAAAATGGCTGTTTGTGTTAGTCTTGTATACCTTTAAAACATTTAAAAAAAAAATTAAATTATCATACTTTACAGTAATATTTTAACTTTTACTGAAATAGCTGTCGGTTGGAATAACTATAATTAATTGTATTATTTTATGTTTGTCATTTTTAATTATTATTACATGTTTTATATATATATTTGTTTACATTATTCAATATATGTATTTTATATTCAATATATTTGATACTTATTTTACATAATATTTTAAGTTAGGCAGTTTACTCCTGGTATTAAGATGCGTTTTGGTCGATCGGATCACGAGTGGATGACGATAAATAGGCTACACGTAAATGGGGTCTAAAACGTTTTGAGCTTGTCCACTTTCGGCCACTTACAGAGGTAGTTGAAAGCGCATTTGACCGGATTGCTTTTGTAGAGTAAACTCTCATGTAATCGAATGTGTTTAAACAGCCACAAAAGACCGCCTACTCTCCGCCTACTGACCTAATGCCCCATTCACACCACCAGCGACTTTGTCACTGTATGTCGCTAGTCTCTGTACTGTGAAGTAATGTTATTGGTAGACTGCACGTCTGGCCATATCTACAGAAAATACAATTACAAGTGATATATAGAACTAAGATATCAATTTGACTAGGAAGGCTCGTACACACCGGGACGAATTTTCGCCAGCGTTTTTCAACGCGTTTTTTGTGTTCACACCCAAGCGATTTTCGCTAACGATGAGCCGATTGAACATGCCAATTCATTTCCTGACATTAGATGGCGCCCATTTGCTCTGCAATACCACTCCAAAACAGTTCTCTTTTATCAAGATTTTTGTAGTCGCTGTCGCGTTTGCCATATAGTTCTTTATGTTCCGAGACCAGCAGCTCTTCATTCATCTTGCCTTGCATCTTCCGGCAGTGTAGACGCTACTTGGCGTTTATCTTCTTCGACGTTACGAATGTGTGCTCGGCAAGACCGTTTTGTGTTTGAGCGCCCCAAAGTTGTGTTTTACTGTAACTTCAGAAGCTCCAGACACGTGAGCAAAAGCGCCAATCTCATTGGTCGGATAGTTTTTGACGCGGCGGCGTCAAACCCAAAAAACGAACCCAAGGCGTTTAAAAAAAAATTACGCTTTTACGCGTGGCGTTTTTCGCGTCGGTGTGCACACTCACATTGGCGCCCTTTGTTTAGTCACGAGGCGTTAAACGTCGGCGAATATCGCGCGCGAAATTCGTCCCGGTGTGAACAGGCCTTTATGCTGTTGGAGAGTGTTGTTATATTAACCACAGCAGTGCTCAGTGCATTAACAATTAAACTCTTTTATACTGTCAAAATTTACTAAAACGTCATTCGAATTTGACTAATAATCAATTTTCTTTTCCCTAATAATCAACATCCAAGGGAAACTGTAATATGACCTGCAGCAGTAATAGCTAAACTGTATTTTATCACTGCATTTTATAATAAACAACACAAGAACTATCAATGTATGAATCAAACTCACAAAGACTGCCAACAGTTTCTTTTCCACGCATCATTTTATTATTGTCCATGTATGTGGTTACAGCCAAATCATATAAAACAGTGAAATCGCTCCGGAACTCTGTCCCGTCTTGCCTGCGCTCGACACGGTGACAACGTGAGACAGTCTTCACTCATATTGGTTGTCGCTTGCGAAATTTGCTTCTCATTTGCACAAAGTTGAAATTTCGGAATTTTTGTTGCTTGTCTCGCGTCGCTTGACACGCCTACATTCTGTCACCAATGGGATCATGTCGCTTTGTCGCTGCGTGTCGCTGGCGGTGTGAATGAGGCTTGATGTGTAAACATTATGGGAAGCGCACTTGCCAGACGGGATTTAAACTTCGGTCGGCTGAAGACCCAAGTTTTGTTTGACGTCGAAAAACGTACCAAGCACAATGTTCTCTCACCATTCCTGATTTATAACACACACTCATAGCGCTCGGCGTGATCTTGCGGCTACCAGAGCGGCAACGAAAGCTGATGCTCGTCTCCATATGTTTTTCCGTCGTCTCCGTTTGCTTGCATATGTAAATTGCGTGAGCTTATTTCGTCCACTGGAGCGAAAGATCAGAAAAATCCAGAAAAAAAACAAAAAAAAACTTCCCTCGAAGAAATCAGGACAGAAGTGGTTAAAGGGGCATTATGCAGAAATCCCGTTTTTGTCAAACAGCGACCCCTAGAGTTACTGTGGAGTACTTGAATTTAACGTTACTGTCGTAAATACCACTCACTCAGAGCGTGACATGCCTGTTACATAGTATACAATAGTACATTGTGTTTAATTTGTCGTTTAATGAGATATAATATATGTTGTTAGTGGTGAGAATTTTCACGTGATTAAATACATAGATCCGACAATTTTAATGGTCCAGAGGCAGAACTTTTGCCAAGTGTGTTAGAGGTTCTGGGTTCTAATCGGTACTAGCTAGTAGTATAGTTTATTTTCCTCATCAAACCCGATTGTTTATTAGTGGTTGTATTTCAAGCAGGGACATGTTTTTTGTGCATTAGGTTTTGTGATTTCACCATAACAAAATATAGAGAGTCTCTCAGTCCCCGCAACGGATTCAGGCGCGCGTCACAACAGAACACTTATCTGCACCACTGATCGCAGAGGCACCGAGCACTTTGGTCACTTGATTTCAAAAATAACACATTTCAGATCGCCTCTTATTTAACAAACGAACGAAATGAATGCTCTACTAGAGTTACCTGGAGATGTTTTATTTGTTTGTAATGGTAACGTTACATCCGTGCCGCGGGAAGTTTCAATGGGGACATAGCACACCCGCAAATTATGCCTATGCTCGTGTCCGACTCCTCGCTCGGTCAGTCTGCCGTTTCCTCTTTCTCTGTTCCTCCGACAATGCTTTCCTAGCTTTCTGCATCTTATATGCCGGCTCAGCCATGACGATAGTGTGACAAACTCCATCCATCTATACCTTGTTCCTGTGTGTATGTGTGCAGTTGCCGTAAAGGAATATGTTACATCGCGAGAGCTGATATCACGCGATACTTCCTGACGCGGCCCGCCGCACCGAAGTTGCAAGTGAGATTTTTTCGCTCACAGGCACCAGGGGGGGTCGAGACGTCCACCATTCAACCCGAAAGAAGTTATATAACCATTTCAATAACTCTGAAGCTGTTCAGTTAAGCTAAAAAAGCTGCATAGTGTCCCTTTAAATGAAAGATTAAAACACCAGGTGTAAACTGGAAATGTCTCCCTCATCTACTTGTTATCCGAATCCGATCGACCAAAAATACCAGGTGTAAACAGCCTTAGTTTTTAGCATTAACAGCATTGCTTCAGTTGTCAATGTTTTAGCCTGTTTTCTCTATTTCAGTGAAAAACCAAAAAAATTACTACATATCTAGGCAGCCGAAATTTCAGTTTGCCTGTAGCCTACACCTAATGTTGAAATTTGGCAAACTTTTAAAATGAACATGATCATCTGTGTGATTACATTGTACATCGAGTTATCGAGGAAAGAGTGAGAGAAAGAATGTCCAGCTGTGTAAACAACAGGTTGATTCATCAAAGCCACATCGCGTGTTTTACCTGTGCGGGCAGGAGCCACATTGGACCGTTGCCCTGTTTCCACGGCGACCTCAATCAGAAACGAGTACTCAGTGCAGGCATGAAAACATTGAAAGTACAGGAACCACCCTGAGCAGCATACTTACAGTACATCCATGACTACCACCCTATTGCTATAGGGTGTATGTTTCATGCAAACTTGTATTTCCCAAGTACGATAACACCAGAGCAGAGAGAAAAAAAGTGGAATGTCGAGTGTTTTGTCATAGAAACACATAGTAATTATTAGATTGAGCGAAGCGTGTCTCCATTGGGCCAGAACAGGATCCAACAGGTCAGGAATGAGCCACGGCGGCAGGGAAGCCTCGTGGACACGCGCCGAATATATTTGCATATGAATGCCGTTCTACGAGAGCATCCTCATTATTACTCCACAGCAGACGATTTGAGTCAAAAAGCCTTCTAAGATTTACAGCGTCACATGCCACAAACATGCGTTCTCCTAGTTTAATAGTATTAGCATTATGCACAAGGTTTAGTAGAGCTAGCCATGCATACCCACAGTTCTGTAAAGTTTCAGTCCTGGATGCAATGTTTCAGTTGCACTAGAGTATACACAATGTAGTTTTCAATAACTGGCATGTCCGAATCTGATGTTTGTGTAACTTCCTGCAGTCAATGCAGCATTGGTCTACTGTATCCTTCGCTGTCTATAATCCTGTGCGAGGATTTTGACAGTTGATAGAAAGGATAAAAATGCTAACAAAAAGAAAGGTTAATTTAGAAATGTAAATGTCAATAATCTCAATGAAGTGGCAGTTGCAAAAAAATGTTTTCTTCCAGATTGTGACGTACATCTGAGTATAACAGATTATTGGGAAAGGAAAAATATAGAGCGGGGACTTTTATCCAATGGTTGTTAACTGGGTTTTGAGATGTTTCAGATCTGAATGCAAGCTTGAGGTCGAACGTGGAGGGGCGGACTAAATGATTGAGTCCGGCAAATGTCACCAGAAAGAAGTCAGTCATTTTAGATCAAGTTATGAGGTCAATAAAAAAAAAAGGATGACAAATTTACATTTATTTGAAATGATCAGGTTTTTTCCACGTTTTAGGCATTATTTGTTTACTGTATAAAAGTACTATGGCACTTGAGGCCGTACTACATTGTAAATAAAATATGAGCACATTATAGCATAGCCTCTCATACCTTAATATTTTGAACGAGTGAGATACACCTCCAAACTACATGGTTATCTTGAGCCTGTGATGAAGTCTGTTGTTCTGTGTTGCTAGCTGTCATATTAAGGTTGATGTGTTGTTTGTCAGAGCGGACGTCTCATCTCCTCCCCTCCCCTTCCAGGTGTTCTGTAAAATGTTTGACTGTCTGCAGGGGGCTTCAGCTGAGGTAGGTGCAGCATGGAGTTTGGGATAGTGAGAGAGATGGATCTAACAGCTGCTGGTTGCACATGGCTGCTTTGGATCTGTTTGCTTTTGTTTGCAGTGAAGTCTCTCAGAGAATGGTGCATGACTGTGCCGGTGCTGTTTTTATATTGATGGATATAGATACTTGACAATTAACCACCAGTGACATCTTCTGTTCCTTCTCCTCTTTCTGAACAGTCTTTTTTTCCAGCTGATTTCTCTTAATTTCCCATCCCTTTCTCTCTCTGGTTTCATTCTCTCTCTGTTTACGGACCGTTACCCCTCTAATCGAGGCCCTGGCAGTAAGAAAACTCCCTCTCTAAATGAAACGGGAATTAGAAGCCCATCAGCAGGGCATTCTTCACTGCTTAAACAGATCTTCATTCTCCATGAAGTCTTGATGTGTTCTAGCACTGTCTGCAGCTAGTAGTGTATACTATATGTATGTTGTTGTTTGTGTATTAAGGATGGGCATGAGTACCCACAAGTGACAGAACACAGATCAAAAGACAGATCTTTGCCATCATAGGAATAAATTAAATTTTAAAATATATTAAAACAGAAAACAACTATTTTAAATTGTAGTAATATTTCACAATATTACGGTCTTAACCAAACTTTTGAACTGTAGTATATATATATAAATATATATATATATATATATATATATGTGTATAGTGTTTTTTATTCAGTAACTTTGTGTATTTTTGCACTTGAATATTATAAATGACTACAAATCAATAATTTAATGTTTATGCTACTATAGGCTAATTCAGATGCTTCATAGGGCTGTAGTTCATACCCTCATAAGACATGTTTACGCAAGTTTTTATTTCCAGATTTTCTGATCATTTTTTTGTTGTTGCTTTAAACAAGGTTTGGAATGTATGGAAGCTTGTTTCCGCCACTGAATAAAAAAATAAATACAAATAATTGCGACTTTTATCTCACAATTGCGAGATATGAAGTCAGAATTGTGAGAAATAAAGTCGCAATTGCGAGATATAAAGTCGCAATTCTGAGAAATAAAGTCGCAATTGCGAGATATAAAGTCGCAATTATGAGAAATATGTCGCAATTGCGAGATATAAAGTCGCAATTATGAGAAATAAAGTCGCAATTGCGAGAAAAAAAGATCTCACAATTATGACTTTTTTTCTCACAATTGCGAGTTTACATCTCGCAATTCTGACTTTATAACACATAATTGCGAGTTTATATCTCGAAATTCTGACATCTTTTCTCAGAATTGTGCGATATAAACTCGCAATTGTGAGTTATCAGGCCAATTCTAAGGGGGAAAAAAGACTTACTTTTTTCCCCTCAGAATAGTTTATATCTCACAATTCTGACTTTAAAACACGCAATTTCGACTTTATATCACGCAATTCTGACTTTATAGCACGCAATTGCGACTTTATATCAATCAATTCTGACTTTATATCTCGCAATTCTGACTTTATAACACGCAACTGCGATTTTATATCACGCAATTCTGACTTTATATCTCGCAATTCTGACTTTATATCTCGCAATTCTGACTTTATATCTCGCAATTCTGACTTTATATCTCGCAATTCTGACTTTATATCTCGCAATTCTGACTTTATATCTCGCAATTCTGACTTTATAACACGCAATTGCGATTTTATATCACGCAATTCTGACTTTATATCTCGCAATTCTGACTTTATATCACGCAATTCTGACTTTATATCTCGCAATTGTGAGAAAAAAAAGTCAGAATTGTGAGATAAAAAGTCGCAATTACCTTTTTTATTTTTCATTCTGTGGCGGAAACAAGCTTCCATAGGAATGAGATGCATGAATATGAAGAAATATTCATTTGCGTGTGTGTGTGTGTGTGTGTGTGTGTGTATATATATATATATGTACATATCTGCAAATGACTGTGTACAACAAAAAAAAGCAAATATCCATGTCAAAGTTCACTAGCCCATATAGTGTCCTTGTTCCTCCAGATCAGTGCGATCATTTATCTCTGTCTCACTGCTCTTTGATAGCTAGGATCTAGAATGCTGAAGCCCTCATCTGCAGGATCTGGAACTCATCTAGAGCATCACCTACTCCCTGCAGAGCCGCTGGTAAGGAGTGAAACTCAAGGCAGCAGTGGCGCCTCCTGCTGACCGGTGAATGCACAGTATTGGCACGTTGCACATAACTCTCATTAACAACACAATCAGCAATCGTGTCTGCATGATCGCTGCTCTTCACAGCCTGATCTCATGTCTAAACAGGGCGTGAAAGCTGTAGGAAATATGTTTATTTGGCCTCTTCTATTTTTAGACTGAAGCCCAGGCGCTCTCAAGGTCAAACGGAGGCATAACTGTACTAAATTGGAGAGCAGAGTGTGTTTATGTCTATGCATGCTTTAGCACAAAGCTGAATGACATGTTTGTTTTCCCCTCTCCATTTATCTAACCACCAGCTCAGTGGGTCTGTAATGAGTTATTAGCCGCTGGTCAGGCCTTTATTTCCAGCGCTACAGGCAGCATTAAAATAGGAGCCAAATCAGGAAGTGATGGGTCTCTGAAATGATCTCTATAAGAGGCATTAATGGCACACCGAGCTTTGCAGAGCAACACAGATACTGATCTGCTCATTAAAGGCCATTATATCTACACTTCGACATACGCACACACATTTTGGAGAGATTTACAAGCAGAGGTTTGTGTACCCTGGGTGTACTTGGAAAGCTTTTTATTTTGTGAACATAAAACAGAAATTACAACTTTTTACTGATGGGTCTGTTGGGGTAAATGCTGCTTTAGAATGTATGTGTCTAATACGATGACACTGAGCCAAGAGCACGTTGTGACCTCTGACCCCTCTGCTCGATGTCGCCATGAGAGAACAAGAGCGCACCCTGTTATCCAACAGTTCTCTTTCTCTCATGCAAAATTGCTTGCTCTGTTGTAAAATGCCTAGTATTTAGGCGATATTTGGCTTTGCCCCGTCACCCACTGTCCCCCTCTAATTTCTCAGTCACATTCCAGACCCCTTGATAAATGGGTGTTGTATTTCACCAGCGTGCACAGGGGTCAGTGACCCCACACTGCACTGTACTTCAGCTGGGGTAATGGATCTGCCGGCTGGGAGGAGAGAGGTCAGAACACCCGACCCTGGCACTGCCCTAACCCACCGACAATACTGCAACCTTCGAGACCCAGACATCACGGTGTCTCAAAAAAATCTGTCCGTCTCCGTGAAGGTTTGTCCTCTCCTCCTGTGGGCTAAATGAGGAGTGTTAGATTATATGCTGTGGTGGAGACCGAGAGCCTTGCTCTCCAGTCTCTCGCACAGATCAATGTGATGTTTATCTGTGGGTCAGTGGAGTTAATAATTTCATCTGACCCGCCTGAACTCTATAAGCACCACTGCACTGCGGGACTGACATGACTGTCCATGTATTACATGATGATGCTGCTGTCTAATGGTGTTTGAAGCATGAAACACTGATTCATAATCTTGGTTTTAAAGACACTGACACACTGATTCATGTTCTGAGAATTGAGATCCAGGCGTGATCTTTAAATGCGCTCATGCATGGCTCTGTTCTCGCTGGAGCCTCATCAGTGTCTACTGTAAGTTATTGGGTGGTGTACCGGTTAAAGCTCAGGGTTGATAACAAGGAGGTTAGGGGACCAAACTCTGCAATAGGGGTGTTCCATGAGCTGCCATTGTTCCCTTGAAGTTCAAAGCACTTAATCACAGGATGTTCCAGGGGAATTGCCCATTTCGGTGAGAAGATTTGTCCTGTCAGATAAATGACCAATAGAGGTTTTCAATAGATATGATACCAATAATTAGAGAGCTGATGGTTGATATCATGCCTATGTATATTATAAAGGCTTACACAATTTAATTATAGCAAATGAGATGCACACAAAACTTCTAAAATAAAAAATAAAAAAGCAAGATAAGCTAAACATTTTATTGGGTTAATCATTTGACTGATATCTATCACTATAAAACCAGTAGTGGCCAAAAGTGAAGTCCAGAGGTGATTAAACCACCTAAATTCGATTAAACCATCAAAATATGGGGAAAATATTTTATATATATTTAAAATATTTTGAATATGAGGGAAGAACAAAACACTTCTGCAGCTACAGGTTTTATTTTACCATGCAAAAAATTCTTCGAAAAACAAATCTCACAGGACAGAGCACACATTGACTAAAACATAATCATCAGTTATTTATATTTTGTTGGTTCTCTTTTGTTTTTGCATGTATTGGAATTACAAATTTTGCTTGGCAAAAAAAGAAAATGTCCACACAATTGCATGTTTCATAGCTTTATCGCAAATAAAACTATTGACTCAAAAAACAACTGTGCAATATTCTTTAACAAATTTTTAATAATTTGAATAAAAGGTAAGCATTCCTAGGCCGGACATCACTTTTGGTCACTATTGTACTTACTAGTAATGTAACTTTTCTCAGTGTGTCACTCAAAAAGCTATAACGTAGATTGTAAAAAGGCTGTGGATCTGAGATTTGAGTGAATGTGGCAGTGAATGGAATGGAAGGGACTGCAGGACTTGGAGTTGAGAGAAACCAGAGACTGCATTTCAGATCTCATAACTGAACTCTGACCTCTCCCCCTTCATCTCAAGCTATTTTCATTATTAGTTATTTGCTGCTGTGGTTTCGCTCAGCCATCAGTTGTTTCAGCATGTCAAGCCATCTTTTCCCTCAGAACACAAAACAAAGTGAATACAAACTAGAAAATATAAGGATACATTTGAACAAGAGTCATGCCATAAAAAAGTTCCTTTTTTGTCCATAATATTTAATGAATTGATTTATTTTTTACTGATTGTAAACTTATTAACTACATAATTTATTTAGAAATATTACTGTTCAAAAGTTTAGGATCAGTAAGATTAGTTTAGAAAGAAATTAATATTTTATTTAGCAAGTTTACATTTAATTCATCCAAAGTGACAGTAGACATTTTACATAAGGTTTCTATTTTAAATAAACACTGTTCTTTTGAACTTTCTATTCATCAAAGAATCCTGAAAAAAAAAATGTATAACAGTTTCCACAAAAATATTAAGCAGCACAACCGTTTTCAATATTGAAAATAAGAAGAAATATTTATATATAATTTATATTATATATTTATAATCTTAATTAAAAAAGGCCACCCTTTTCATATCATGACGTTTTCACCCTAGTACACCTCAATGTATCATTGCAAATCTATATTTGACAGTAAAGAGTGGCATGAAGACTAATCAGATGCAATAAGACAGGAGTCGGATGGCAGAGAGACTGGTAATGAGATTACATTAGATGGCAGTTACTGATGGCCTGTCAGCTCTGGCTGTGGTGGTCTTATCTCAACATTTCCTCGAGACCTCCGCTTATTGCCTTATCCAGACACCTGGGACCCAGAGACTGTTTCTCACACTGACTTGTTCATTTTCAAGGGCAGAGAGCAAAGCTTGGATACACTGGGCTATGCATGCACACACTCACACACATGCAGTGAGATGCAGTAAACTAGAAATAAACGAATGAAGCAGTGTATCAGGCAATTGAGTTCATATCAAACGTTTCTCATTCCCCACAGATAGCTTCAAACAGCTGCCGTGTTCTGATTACAACTGCGCTTTTTATTGTTGGAAGCACATTTCCGAAAGTGGGAAATCGCAGCGATTCATAATTAACCTTTCAGACAGTGAAGCTATTTGTAAGAGAGCGTAATAACACAGTTAATGTCTTGGAAGGGTATTACCTCACAATCCTCCAGACAGATAGTTTAACGGGAGGAACATAATTAAAGCTGTTGTTGTGGAGACCCTTATTCACTTCGGTTGTATGGTTGAGGTGAGGTTCAAGCAGAATGGGCTACTTGGAGAAAGCCAGCCCATGGGAAAACGGTCCCCTTCCTGGAAGTGATGGTCGGAGAGAGTGGCGTTCTGCTAGGGTTAGCACTACATTCCTGCATTCCACTGAGAGGGGGAGGGGAGGCCGGCTAATACTGCGTCTGTGTCTGTGTCCGTCTGAAGGAGACTCGTAGGATTGTTTGGAGTTCTTTGGTGTCTCACTTTGGATGTCTGTGTCCAGCATATCAGATGGGTCTCTCTTTTCATAGTTGTTTTAGAGTTTAGTCACTCTCTAGCTGCTGAGAATGCTGCAGTTCTCACCAGATTTATGGATTAGTGTGTGTGTGAGTTGACTAAGTCTCACATAAACTCCCTTAAAGCAGTCCTCAAAGGCAAAAATGATTCACAAAGGACATAATGTTCATAAAATTATTTTCTGGAGTATTGTAAAGGTTCAGAATAGGGTTAGTCTGTTAGCTTTATGTAAAAACAATTGAAGCCAATGGCATGTTATCATTTAGATTGCTAGGTAAATGTAGACTCAAAACAGTGCTTAACATCCCGAATACCAAAGGATGAAAGATTCTGAAGTCGAAACAAAAGTACATTTTCTCCTAAAATGGGAAATAATATCAAAACATCAGAGAGAGAGAGAGAGAGAGAGAGAGAGAGAGAGAGAGAGAGAGAGAGAGAGAGAGAGAGTCATTCAGAGGAAAGGTAGACACAGTTAGCTGTGTTTCAGCTTGTCAACAGACATGTGTGAAGAACATTATTATTTTATTGGTTGATTTATTACTGATTATATATATATATATATATATATATATATATATATATATATATATATATATGTATGTGTGCATTTTATTTTCATGGATCTTTTAGTTTATCTACTTTTTAAATTATATTTTGTTTTATTTTTTTTACCTTTCCCCCTTCATTTCTTTATCTGTGTTTATTGACTGCATAATTTTTATTTTCTGTGTTGTCTGTTTTGTTACTGTACATAATGTATACACTTCGGCAATATTGTAAATGTTTATACAATATTATTAATTTGAATTTTTTTCCTTTTTTATTTTATTTCCTTTTTTCTTATTTCATTAACATGTTTTTTTTTTACCTTGCCCCGTTTTCCAATTTATTTCCTTTATCTCTTTGTTTACTGCACCATATTTATTTTCTGTGCTGTCTATTTCGTTACTGTACGTACTGTATACGCTTCGGTAATATTGTAAATGT